ATGGGCACCAGTTCAGATCCTTATTGTTCCACTTCTAGAACATTTCCCACTGATGTGCCTGGGAGAGCAGCAGAGGACGTCAAATACTTGGGTCCCTGTATCCCCATGGGAGACTTGGAAAGAGGCGTCTGGTTGGCTCATCTCTGTCTATTGGTCATTTGGTGAATGAACCAGAAGATCTCTCTCTCTCTCTCTCTCTCTCTCTCTCTCTCTCTCTCTCTCACTCTCTTTTAAATAAATAGATGAGTACATTTTCTAAAGAATGCAGATTCCATGAAAAAAAATGGCACTTGTCTTTCCTAATCTGTCTTGTCTCCTTGGTACCTACCAGTACTGTGAGAATTTCATTTCAGATTCTATTTTATTTCTGTTTCTTCTAGACCTTCCTTTAAGGCCAAGATATAAAAGGACCCATGCCTAATTTTTGTCTCTCTTAGCAGCTGCTGCAGTATGCCAGGTTTCTAAAATTATACCACAGAGCTATGGCGACTGATTTTGCTTTTCCCATTTATTAAAACAGAAACAGAACCTAAAATGCCTTCTACATTTGATAAATGTGCTATTTAAAACACTGGCATTATAGACTACAAAGGTTTTGAACACTTAGCCAAGTTTCCTGTGGCTTAAGTTAGTCACATCTAAGGTCAATACCACAACCAGAATGAAAAATTTTGCCAATGGTTAAATTATCAGCCATCCTCCAAATTTCTGTCACATATGTGAGATGGATGCTGACCCATGGGGCTGGGTTCAGTTAAAACAGAAGTGAAATGCTTGGAATGGCTAACTGCATGCAAACACTGGACTCCAATGAAACTCCTTAGCTAGGCAGAGGGAAATGGAAAATCTAATGGGGAGGAGGCTACAGTCTTTCCTTGCCAGTGAAATGTGTTGTCCACTACTGGGCTCAGGACAAGAGTTACCAATGCTGGAAATCAAACCTTAAACTCGAATTTCTTTAGAGAAGTATTTTGTGAATTTGATTTTCAATACTTGATTTATCTAACTGAGCAGGATTTTTTGTGGAATGGATTAAATTTAAAGAGATATGCATTTGACCCCAATTTGAGCAACCTTCTAAATATTAACTCTTTATTAAAAAAAAAAAGGATGTACAGCACTCCATGGGTGGGTGTGGCTGCATATTACAAATGATGACATAAGTATCATGTAATGATGCTATTCAATAGTTTGGGACTGGGCCTGAGGCAATGGGTCAGTTGCTAAGTCCTTGCCTTGTATGCCCAGGAACACATATGGGTGCCAGTTCATGTTCTGGCTGCTCCACTTCCCTGCTTGTGGCTTGGGAAGGTACTAGAGAATGATCCAAAGCCTTGGGTCCTTGCACCCACATGGGAGACCTGGCAAAAGCTCCTGGTTTCTGGCTTTGGATCAGCTTAGTTCTAGTCACTGTGGTCACGTGGGGAGTGAACCAGCAGATGGAAGATCTTTCTCTCCGTATCTCTTTTTCTCTCTGTAAATCTGCCTTTTCAATAAAAACAAATGGAGTTTGGGATCATTCAGATGAATATCTCTGACACGCAGTGGTCTGTGTGCCTAGGTTTCTCTTTGTGACTCAGCAGAAGCAATTCCTCCTGTTGGTTTGGAAGAACTAATGAGAGAGTTGGCCCTGCTTCTCCTAAACAGTAGCCCTCTGCTCCACTTTGCAGTGCAACCTGCTTTCTTGGTTGTCCCTATTTCTGGCAGAAGGTGGAAGCCTGGAGTTTGGCCATGAGCATAGCTTTGTCCTCTGAGGAACTCAAGTGTGTATCTGGCTTTGATGTGGTTGAGTTGCCATAAATAGCTGTTGATGCTTTGGGTCCCTGCTTCCTCAGTTATGGGCCAATTTCTTTCAACAGTGCATAGTCATGAAAATGAAAGGACACAGGGAAAAAAATGACCATGCCAGGAAGAAAGATGATTAAAAAGAATTACAAACATTCACACCAATCTGTTTCTTCCATTTGTTTTCAGAGAAAAGCCTAACTTTGTGGATGAGCTTGTAGGACATCTTCAGAGATAGTCCTGTCTCAACACACTACAAGAGTCTGCAGACAGCTATAGAAAAGCTAACAACATGGACTTTGGGGTCAGACAAACTTGAATTCAAACTCTGGATCTGTATTTAAGCAAGGAACTAATCCCTCTTAAGCCTCAGTAATAACAATCCCTGCCTCATAGACTTCTGTTTATTGGAAGACTTCAAGTATGTTAAGTGGTTTGAATAAAGCGCCTGCCCAATTAATGCCTGGGCCAACAGAGGAATGTAGGGGCGAGATAATTGTTAGTACCATCTCTTCAGAATTCGCACGTTTATTGCCCTCTTGTTATTGCCTTGGTAAAGACTGGAACAGGTGTGTTTACACCATAAACATCTGCAAACATCTTCATATGGATGCTACCCTTGGCCAGGTCACTTTACCAGCACCTTGCTAGTGTTAGGTATCTAAGAGGTTGTTTACTATTCAACAGCATTCTTGGCAGTTGACTCACTCAGGCAGGCCTTCACAAGTGTCAAATGCATTAGAGTCCAGCATTAAAGAGTCCACAGTCTGTTGCTGTGATAAGACGTGATGCAGTGCAGAAGGAAGCAGCAGTTAATGATCTGTGAAGGCTGACTCAGATCCATCTTGGTGACCAACATGCTCTAGTCTGAAATCTGAATGAAGCCAGCTTACATATCAATGTCTGTTGGGACCAGCTAGCACACTAGGGAACTATGTTGCACAAACATCTCCCATGATTTCACACGTAGAGATTAGAAAGTGGAGAGCAGCTACCCAAGCCCATTCTGCCTGAGTGCTTAAGCAAACTTGGGCCATTGAGTGATCTGAACATCTGCAGCCAGCTGGGGAGATGAAACTCCCAGGAAACCCACTGGGGCTTGAATCAGAATGATGATCCAGTTAATTCCGACAAACCTCAAATGCTGACTCCAACCTTGTAGAGTCTGCATTGGCATTAATAATAACTTCTTTAAAATCATTCAGTGTGGTGGATGGTTAGCTGAATCACATTAAGAAGTATACTCCCTTCACCTAGAAATGTGTACTTATAGCATTTATGCCAAGCTAAGATCTGTATATAGGTCCAATAAAAGGGGAGAATCCCCCACAGTTAATGGGTATTCCAAGGACACCTCATGTGAACTAATTGAAATACAATAGCAAGCACTAAATTCATAGAAGTTAATTCAAGACAGCGTGGGCACTTAGTCTTTTTTATTCTTTAACATGATTTTTTGTTTAGGCTTTTTTGTTTATTTCCTTTCTTCTTCTTAATTTTTTTCTTCTACAATAAGACACTCTTTCATCAGTTTAGAAATGGTGATTATAATTGTTGTTTTATCTGGAGCCTATGTTTTACCAAAAGCAATCAATCAGGTTGGATTCTCTCAGAAGTAGACAACAAGAAAAGGATTTGAGTGTAAACCTTTCACTTGAGATTTATCTCAAGAAGAATCAAAAGGATAATAGAGAACTGAGAAGAAAGAACGACAACTAGCACTGAGTGTGTTAAAACGTAAGTTCCACTGCAAGAAACTAGCTCTCCCTTCTACTGGGACCATCTAGAAAAGTATACAGAATTGAGCTCTCCATGGCAATAGCCACCAGTCACATATTGCCAATGAGCAGTGAAATGTAATTAATCTGAATTGAGATAGGGATGTAAAATACACATCACTTTTAAAGACAGTATGAGAAAAAAGAAGAGCAAAAGTGCCTAATGCAATTTCTTTTAAAAATCACTTCTTGAGGTTGACTATTTGTATTAAGAATATTTTGAATCATTCATTTTTAAAATTTTGGATTAACACACAATACATGCACATTTCTGAGGTTTCCAATCTAGCTTTTCAACACTATGAGTTGTTTAAACTGATCATCTCAAATAACCAGTCTGTTAAAGAAGCTTTTATTGAAATAGATTCTTTGCTTTGTGTTTAAGGCCAATCAGCTCCCCTGTCCTAGTTCTTTGTACAGAATATCATAATCATCACCCCAGACTGTTATGTCCACTTTGCAATGTTTTAATACCCGTTATGCAACCCGATGTCCTGATTCACCCATTCACAGTTAAAGATACGGTTAGTTTCAACCTGCGGCCAGAATGCAAAACAGCTGGAGGAGTCGATGTGCACCTTAATTTCTGACAATGCATGTCATATATATGGAAAATATATATATGATGGCCACAGCCTCAGTTGAGGTCTTTCATGCTCTGTATAACCACTTCCCATTAAGACACCAAGTCCATTTTTAACTCCCCAGGATCTGGATGGGCTTGTGACTCCAAGAATAGAGTTCTGCGAAGGTGTTCTTATGGGACTGCTAAGCCTTGGTCCTCAGAGGGGTTCAGCTTTCTCTGGGTACACTTGTTCCCTCAAGAGAAAGGCATTTCAGAAGATGGACACCATGCTGGGAGGAAGCCCAGGTGAAAGAAAGAGGCTATGCACAAGTGTTTCAGAAAATCATCCTAGCTAAGATTTCCAGACAGCCAGTATCAACCACAAGCAAGATCAGGAAGCAAATGGACCTTTGAATCACTGCAGCTCCTGCTAAGGGCCAGACTGTGAGAAACAGAACAATTACATGCTTTATACTTTTGTTGTTTTGAGTTTTTTTACTGTCTTATTTATTCACTTTTTAAAATTATATCTTCAGAATATATAAGCAAACTAAGTGATTTTTTTTTAAAGCCACTAAGTTGTGGGAGTGATGGTTACACATCTTTATTAACTGCAACACCATATTCCTCTTTTATCTTAACTGTCTGGAAACCCAAAATGAAATGTAAACAGATTCACTAATAATGTAGTAAATATTAGATTAAAGTATTAGCACAACTTTATTCCTTTAATTTGTAATATGGACCCTACTTTCCTGTTTTCTTAACCGTATTTTGAAAAAAAAAAAGGAAAAAAGAACTTGAGAGCACAACGTAGGCAGTAAAAATGACCCTTGTTCACCCTCAAGTAGCAAAATAAGAATTCAAAATACCTGAATCTTCTTTCATGTCCACATCTTCTTCTTCATTATTATCATCTATTAAAAGATAGGAAAAAAACAAAGAAAGGCTAAGAAGAAAGCTGGAAACACCATCATTCTATGTCATGCTGTGGTTTGAATATCCTCTACCAGACTTAATCGGAACTTAACACTCATGCAGAGCTGGGGCCATTGACAAGATATTAGATCCAGAGGACCTTCCCATCATGAAGTGCTCAATTCTTCTACCCCAGGCTTGAGATAGGTATCAGGGGAGTGATTCCCCGATTTAACCCACATTTGCACTTCCACCTTATTCTAATGCCTGTGAAGGCCCCTACCAGATCCTGGTACTGTGCTTTTGGAGTCCAGCCTCCAGAATCATGGGCCAAATAAATTTCTATTGTTCATAATTCCCCTAGTCTGTAGTGTACTGTGACAGGTGCAGAAAAAATAGCATACTGCCAAACAAAAAATGAAACAAAAAAAATAATAATAAGGCAAAGTTCAATAGAAAAGAGAACATTTTACTAGTATGCTGAGTTAATGTATACCCATTGCAGCATAACTTCACATGTAGGTTTTATATTTGCTTTTTAAAAACTATAATCATAACTCTCAATAATTACTTATTGAAGTTGTATTTGATAATCTGGGGTATAACAATAACAATCAAAATTCACTGAGTTTAAATGACACATTTGCCACATTTGTTGTTTATTTTTATTGGATAGGTAGATTTACAGAGAGAAGGAGAGACAGAAAGGTCTTCCATCCACTGGCTTACTCCCCAAATGGCTGCAATATCTGGAGCTGAGACGATCTGAAGCCAGGAGCCTCCTCCAGGTCTCCTGTTTAGGTATAAATTCCTAAAGCTTTGGGCCATCCTTGACTGGTTTTCCAGGCCATGGGCAGGCAGTGGTGCAGCCTAGACACAAACTGGCGCTCATATGGGATCCCAGGAATGAAAGGCAAGGACTTTTTACCCACAAGGCTATCGTGCTGGGCCCACATTTGTCACATTTTTAGCATATGTATGCTCACCTCATGTTTTCGTGGATATCATAATTTGGTAACAGGCAAACAACAGGTGTAGGTTCCCTGCACTGTACTGTGAAAATTACTGCTTTGATGCTCACATAAATCCCAGTCACAAACTGGGGGCTTCCAGGGCCTCCCTCCAGTGGTATCTCTTCCATTAAACGCACCTCATCTCTCAAAATAATTATTTTTAATTAGACATCTGATTCTTCTGCTTTGTAGATGATGCACTTGAACTCTCAACACATTGTCATCTCTTCCCTTGGATGTTCTTGCCATCTAGCACTCGGTTCTGAATGTTCGTGTGACCCCTAGTTCCTAAGTTGAAAACCTAAACCACAAGGGAGACCTTTGTGTGATGAGATCGTAAGGTGGGAACATGATGAACAAGATTAGCGTCCTAATCAAGGGTCCAAAAGAGAACTTCTGCACCTTCTATCATAAAATGACACAAGGAGAAGGCCGATGTCCATGAGGAAGACAGCCTCCATCAGCTTTCACACCATCCAACACCTTGACCTTGAATTTTGGCCCTTTAAAACAATGATGGGTAAATTGTTTACAAGCCACTCAGTCTGTGCTTGTTCCATGACAACAGCCTGGATAGATATCACTGTCACTCAGGGCCAAAACTTGTCCATTTCCACATTCGCTCCTCTCATCACTGTGGTGCCATCCAAATTCACACCGTCAACCTTTACTTTAGTAGTTTTCTAACCATTCTTCACTCATCATTCTCATTTCTTTTACTTGTGGTTGACAAATCAATCTTAAAACCCAGATTTCATCAGTCCACTATTCTAAAGTGGCTGCCATCTGGCTAATGAGGGAAGTCTATACTCTTCCTAGGAACACTTGAAACCAACAATATCTTGTACTGACCACTTGTTTGTTTCACCACGTCTGTTACACTTGTGCTGACACCTTCAGGGAGGACAACCCTTGATTCTTCTATTTTCTAAGTCCCCTTCAGTCTTTTTCAGGCTTTGGTCCTGCTAAAAATACCCATCTCCATCTCCATTCACCTCCATACTTCAAGGACAAGTTCAGGAACCATAGCTTTTTCTAAGTTTTAATGCATTGTGTTGTAACTTTTACTGTATCAAGTTCATACTGCCTTCTGTGTAGAAAAGTCAAGGATGTTTTGGGCAAAGCTCCCTAGTAGTTGCTTCATTTACTCAATCGCTAGGAATGTGATCTTGGAGAAATGATCCAATCTCCATAACCTTCAGGTTCACCAGCTTGAAAGTGGGTTACTAGCAATGCTTACTACCCTGAGTTATTATGATTAAATGACTAAAGCCATGTACAGAACTAGGATAGCTATTGTGATAGCATTAAATGCTAAATGTAAGTCCCTTAGGAAGTTGATAGTTTAATTACGTCTACCTTCAAGTGAAAAAGGTAGGTCTACACAGAGGAACAATACTAAGACATGACATTATCCATGCAGCTGCAAAGTTCAAATACTAGCTCCAAAGCCATGTTTGCCCAGAAGACTCCAAGTAGCCTCACTGGAAGACATGTCGATCCTCTGGAACCTTCAGAATGGCCCTGGCTGCTCTGTACAGCATATTGAAACCCACGAGCATATCTTACTTTCCCCATGACATGTCCACACGCATTAAGTGCCAAATTAATCTTGGTGTTTCCTACAGCCCCAGATACAAAAGCTTGCATAATGTGCAATAGGCTTCCAACTATGAGTGAAAAGCGAAGGAAATTTTGACTCATCCTTTATTTTCCCTCAGAAATCATGGGAGAGTCTTTTCAGGCCCCTCTGAGATTTCAGACAGTCTGTTGTCATAGAGATTTTAGAACTTTGTAGAGAATAAGTTCTGTCTAAATGTTTTACATTTAGGGAAGTATCAGTGAAGGGAGATAGTGATTTTCTAAGATGATATTTCTAAGAAATAAGTATTCTTCCTTCCTATTTTATTCATAGAAAGAATGAAAGGTAAAAAAAATCATGTAGAAAATCACTAAATTCTCAAGCATTTAGATAGTAGAAAAGTTTACTTTTTGCAAAGTTTGCAAGTCTAAAATTTCAAGTGAAAGAAATGTTCCCATTTCCACTGCATAATAATATAATAACTGATCTTCGTCAATACCCAGCACTTATCTAAGAGGTGACTAAATGATAAAACATGCATCTGGGAGACAACTGCCAAGCATCATAGCTCCTGGGACTATTTGTTTAAAAGTTTCTTTTGACTGTTGGTTTCCACTCAAGAAGCAGCAAGGAATTCATATCATCCGTGGATCAGCAATTCACACATGGCTGACAAGATTTCCATGGAAGCACCCTGCCGCTCTTGCTTCTGCGGGCACTGAAGCAAGGCAGCATGCTCAACGTGCGCTTCCTGAACTGCTTGCTTTTGCTCTCCGGGACTCTACGCCAGAGACGCAGCGGTGGCTGACATGACTCAACCGGGTGCCTTCCTTCCCTTCCCTCTCTCACGTTCCGAATTCCCTAGTGCGGTTTCCTCGGATCACCTCCCAAAGAAATCACTTCTGCCTGGATTTTTTGTTTTAGGTTTTGCTTTTGGGGGGAATTCAAACTAAGTGTGATCACACTCAAGCGGAGGGAAAAGCATTTGGCTAAACACACGGATGGGAACCATCAGGATGCTTTCAGAAAAGATAAAACCAACTCCACAGGGCTCCAGGGAGGAGCACAGATGGCCAGCTCCAGTAGTTCATTTCAGTGCTACCTCTCTGACACAGTACCTTGAGGCACTGAAACTTTATCCTGACCAGTGACGGAGTGATTAAGCCACTTCAAAGGGGTGACTCACAATCTTCTCTTTAACATTTTGGCTAATATTTTATTATTCTTTCAAAATGATTTCCCTATTTATATTTGAAAGGTAGGCAGAGCCAAAAATAGGGAGAATATTCAACCCAGTGGTTTATCCCCATGTACCTGCAACAACCACATCTGGGCCAGGTCAAACACGGGAACTCAGCACTCAATGCAGGTCTTCGCTATAGATGACGTAGGCCTAAGGACTCGAGCCATGACCTGCTTCCTTCCAGGAAATGCATCAGCATGATGTGGGAATCAGAAGTATGGCTGCGAGTTGTCCCCAGACACTCTGATATGGGAGGTGAATATTTTAAACATCATCTAAATCATGCTGCCACACACCCATTACTTGCCTCTGTATTTTAGAAGCATTTATATTAAAAACAAGCATATGGATACTTAGGTGCATCTAATGTGCTGTTACATATTAATGAAGTTTCTTTTGATTGGACATTATTTCATATAATGTGCATGTTTAACTCATATTTGTACCTAAAATATGCAGGAAATTTGCACCAATAACTTTTCCCAACAAATCCAGGAGAAGAAAAAAGGCAATATTTAAAAAAAAAATATATGATAGCCTGAGGAGATAAGGAGCTCTGGCATCCAGAACTTGGAAACAGTTAGGGGACTGATGGAGTGTGGACACAGAGCTGCTGTTCTAGACGGTTCTTCAGGCATCATACTTCTGCATTAGAGGGCAAAAATGAAATAAAGGTTTCTAGCCACATTGACACTAATACCATTTCAAAACTGAGAACAATCCGTCAGCCGGTATTGTTCTGTGTGTTCAGGAATGCCAATTCCAGAAAATCCCCTTCCTTTCCCGGGCTTGGACCATACACTGGCTAAAAGCTCCATTTCATCTTAAGGGGCCTCTTTGATGTTAATTTCATAATGGATGCTGGTTTTATACACAGCGTGCCTCTCTGTGAGATTAGACTGCTGAGTTCTGCATAAAATATACAAACATGACTAAAGTTCTTATTCTGATAAAAATGTGTGAAAAGTAGCTAGTTTCTCAAAATATCTGGGTTTTTTGGAAGCAGTTGACTATAGGCAGTACCTTCACAAATGTACTGAGTAAAACAGCTATGAATTCGAAGTCATGTCCCAAAGGAGTGTCTAACCTCATTTGAATAATATCTAATCCATCTGCTTTGATAGCAGGTAGAGCTAAGGTTAAGTGATTTTTGACTTAATC